TTCTTGGAAATCGATCCCTTTGAAAACTGAACTCAAGCCCTGAACTCCTGTGAACATCTGAAGCTGCCTTTGCCTAAACTAATACTTCCTTCTCTAACTGAAGTGACTATCCAAAGTCTTGGTGGACATTTTTCCCTGTTTTCTGCCTGGTCGCATTTAACCAGAAGTATTCAGGCCTTCTGTATACAATACCCCATATGTAGACAATGCCTCCCTCCTCTGTATTCTATTGGCTTTTCTCCTCTTTTCTTATGGCAGAGAAATTATGCGGGATTTCCATTCATTCTAGGTGGTGGTGACAAGGATGCTCGAGATTTGGTACAGATACGGTTTGAACAGAGACTCTGGGATGGTTTAGAAGATGGGTCTGTCCTGGGTCAACGAATTGGGAACTTTGAAAAATATACCAAGGTAAAATCTGAAGTTGGAATATACTACTTATTTCTGCAACAAAATATAGCAGATTTTGAAAAGCCTTCATTCAGTCATTGAGATCACAATTGTGCTACAGATATTAATGAAATGTGTGCTTGTAGCACAAGATGCAAGGAGAATGATTGCTGTTGTGTCATACTGAGGCCCCTAATAAAGTTGATCTGCTTCTGATACTGATGATATTAAGATGTTTCTTTAATTAAAAACCTGATTCCTCTCTTTTTTCTGACATCAGTACTTTGTTGCTCTAGAACTACTTTTCTTTCTCTGCCAGGGCATTGGTCGAAAAGTGATGGAAAGGCAGGGCTGGACTGAGGGCCTTGGCTTGGGAAGCAACAGTTCAGGGATGGCTGAAGCCCTAGACAATGAGGGCCGGAATCCCAAATGCAAGAGGGGCTTGGGGTAAGTGATGTGAGTCTCTTTCAAAGTAAGCGCAACTAACTTCCATGTAAAGATCCATGGTTGGTGGTCTCAAGTGTCAGGCTTGTGTTGAAAATATGTTCATGTAAAAGCAGTCTGGCGTTCTGGGGAAATGTTGTAGCATTCTTACAGTCGTGCTATCTGAGTATGATGCAAATTGGAGTTCAAAACATTTGGGGGATACTAGATTCCTTTCTTGCACTAAAGGCTATTTATAAGAATGAACTGACATAAGCCTTCAGTCCCATGGTTACTGTAAAATGGGGGAACAAACTTGCATTACATATGTAACTAGTTTCGCTGTAGCTAAAGTCTCTGCAGTCAGGAAGCCTCCTAGAAACTGGAGTATTTTTCACAAGGGTTAGGAATGGTAATACTACCACATATTAAGGGAAAAGTTTTCTTTTTATATATATAATAATTTTATTTAAGATTATAATTACAACCATAAAACTAATACAAACTAAAAGAAAGAAGACTAAAAGGAAATGGTGCAGAAAAAAAGGAAAAAATAGGAGAAATAGAAAAGAAAAAATAAGAATATAGTAAAAAGAAATTTAGTAACTTACCACCTTCTCTTAAAATACAACAAATGATCTCTTCTTCCCATATCCCATCTCTTATCTATAAACAAATCCATAAAGCATCGTCACTTCAGTCCTGGTGTCAGCAGAAGTCCATTAAAGGTTACCAGAGATAACAACATATCTGTTTTAATCTTGATCAAATAAACCAACTTTATATTCTTTCCTTTTACTTCTAACAATCTTAATCTTTAGTCTATTGAAATAATGTCATAGAATTTGATTTCTTTTCATTATTTCTTTGTCCCTTCTCACAAGATTCTTCAAAACTTTAACAAGCCTTCTCACAAGATTCTTCAAAACTTTAACAAGCCTTCTCACAAGATTCTTCAAAACTTTAACAAGCCTCTTTTGTAAATCCAATATAGGAAAATTATCCAGGTTACTCTTTTGGTTTAGATGGCCAGTTTCTTTTATATGTCCAGTGTAACATCTTTTTCCATGTCATTCTTATAGCCTGTCATTTGTAAATCCACTTTCAACTTAGTCACGATCTTGTCAGGTAGAACTTGTTCCTCTTCCATGCCATCTTTTAGACACAGTTTCTCCATAGAGGCAGATGTCTCTCTTGATACTATTAAAATTAACTTCTGAGTCCATTGTTCAAAAATGTCCTTCACTATGTCCAATCTTAGAATATATATTGCTTCATTCTGTAATTGTAAGTTGAG